AGGATTGAAATGTACATTCCGATTTCGCCCGCCGGGGTCCAAACTCTTCGACGAATGATGGGGCTATAAGGCAGACCTCTTAAAGCAAATCCATGTTAACCCTCCTCTTGGTAGCGGGCGCTCAACAATTCTTAGCCTGCAGCACTTACTCTTCGCACGTCAGCGCGAAAGTACATTTCCATGTTCCTTTCAATAAAGTGTATGAAAAATCGGTAGTCAGCGCTGCAAACAAAAATTTTGCACTCGGACCGTACACCATGTCCTCAGAAATGTCTGATATCTGACGCTTTCCGCCCACTTGCCCTTTGACCTTGACTCCCCAATTTTCGCACTGGTGATGGTTTCCTGCCCCTCACACTTATTACACGAAATTAAGAGCATAGCGTCGAGCCGTTCAATTTGTGCGCAATTCCGTATTTTCATCCATACCTTAAGTTAATCGCGGGGAAATATTCCCCCCTCCGTTGACACATTCTTGATCTTTGACCCTTGACCCCAAAATTGTCACCCAAGGTTCCTTTTCACGAATCCCCCCCCCCCCCCCGACGTCCCAATATCGTGACCGGTACGTCGAGCGGTTAAGATTGTGCGCCAACAAATTCGAAGTGAAAGGCAAGTATCATTTAATAAAATAAACCAAAATCGCATGGGGGGGAGATAGTGAGCGTGTCCTAACAATGATGTGTACGCAACTGCGTATCTGCATATCTGCGCCTAACAAATGTGTCACTACACACGACTGAAATTGTACGTTCATAACCGTAGCGACAGACCCCAGATGAGCCCAGACGCTCTGCGGCTCTTGTTTCTCGACTTAGAGTAAGAATTGTTGTATATATAATACGGAATAATTAAATCTGCTGTGCAATTGTGTATATAAATATTGTTAGTGTACTTTAATAGTCGGTGATCTATCAGAAATCGTGTAAAAAAGTCTTATTTTGGCTTCCAGAAAGGGTCGTGTACGTCCTTATTTCAACATGTGTCTTACTACTATGACCCCTGTAAAGCATCGGACTCCTAAACCATTGATTCTGGGTTCGAATCCCACGACGGGAAATTATTTCTTTCTTTACTTTTGGACTGTTTAGTATGTACTTCTGCCGTATTCACCGTTAATTTCAAAATTTAAATTTTTTTACTACATTTAAAGGGATGGTTTACTCTAGGTTCTAGGGTTATTTTCAGCTAATTTAGGTTATAATTACGCTACATAAAAAGTTTCATTGTTTAATCACCATTAGAAATATTTTTTTTAAATGTTTTAAAACTAACCACTACAGTTTGATTACAACGATGGTGGCGCCACTCAAAGCGCACGATCTGATAAGTTGCGCAAAACCACTCCAGCCAAGGGCTACAGACCGAGGGTGTTTCTTATTTATTAATTTAAAAGCAAAAAGATTGTAATATCTTATAAACGACATATAGTTTCACTTATAATATGAATAAATTTGCCCCAAAATGAATTTAGGTGAATTAATGAAAAACGGTTAAATAGCATTTAGGTATAAATATAATTGCACTTTTGTGATTAGCCCTCGGTCTGTAACGTGCAAAATAAATTGTCAAATACGCAACTTTTTCGGGGTGGCAGCACGGTCGCGAGTGTCATGGCGCCGTTCAAATTTCGTAGCGTTGATGTGTAATTAATTATAACAATTAAATTAGGTATTTGGTAACAAATACGTGTGGGTATAGACGATTTGTTATACAGTAAGTACAGTTGTATGCAGTAGGCTAGAGGCTACTGTTCTTTTAAACGTTTAGTAAAAATCCAGAATAAATTATGGTAGATGATAATGATAGCGCAAACTGACGGGAACACGTCACGGAAGCCTAAGTAGGTTACATATCAAATATGATATTTTATATATAATTTTATTTTATTATTTTTAATGTTTTACTTTTTTATATTAATGTCTTTTATCTTTTGATTTCTTATTATTTTTTATTGTTTGGAATGGCATGGGATGGGATGGCATGGCATGCCATGGCATGGGATGCAGTGTGATGGGATGGGATGGCATGGGATGCGATGAGATGGGATGGCATAAGGGATATGGTATGGGATGGAATGGGATGCGGTGCAATGGGATGGCATGGCATGGAATGGGATGGATGAATGGATGCATGGATGGATTGATAGATAGTTAGATTTTTTTGGGTATTTTCCTTTCAACCAAGCGGTCACCAACTGAGTAACGCCACTGATTTCCCCGGGCAACGCCGGGTATCCCGCTAGTACATAAATAAGAAGGCAGTAGGCATTTTGAATTTTTGCGTGCCAACCATTTTATGTTTTCATTCGTTAATTAATGCTTATAATGTTGCTATGGTAACCTGGCCAGTTAAACCTGGCCAACTCACCAAGCCCCTATCAATACATAAATAAGAAGGCAGTAGGCATTTTGAATTTTTGCATTTTGCAGTTTTGCTTGTGAATCCATTTCTAAGATAAAATCAATGCACTAGATTTATATGTTATATATATTCTGCAAAATTCTTATCATGCTTTCAACTCCAATATCCATTTGAAAGCATGTAGACTGCAGTCATATTTTTTGGCATAGCACCCATTTAAAATTTGCACGAGGCCATTATTCTTCCTGCAATATTTTCGTTCCCTGCAATCACCATTACAAAACTGGAGAACCGAGTATATCTTCTCGTTTTATAAAAAATCAGATCTATCCAACCAGTTGTGTAGCATGCTAGCATCGCACACACTTTTACAAGTTACATGTGATTCTAACTAACTAAACTAGATTTAAACTAGTGGACTTGCTAGATACCAAACCTCAAACAAAATCTGGTATGTGAAAAAGTTCTTTTTTTGAATAAATATAGGAATAGAAATAATATCTACATCGTGGTTCCAGTACAAAGCATAATACTTTATTCTAATTTAATCGTAAACCTGATTAATTCTAAATTTAATTTATAATGAGATAAAGCAAACGCTTTGCAGTGTTATTACAGCCATGTGAAAACATGTCATTCTGTAGTCTGATAACTGCTGAAATTTATGTCTTCACGTTGATATATACCTTGTATTGTATAATCCCAGGAGTTTACGTTTTCCTTCCCCAGGGTGGCATCGCCTTCATCGTGCTGAAGGGAGCTATTAAGCTATACTTCAAGCAGCAGAACTACTACCGAAGATTAAACCGCTGCATCGTGGACTTTGATGAGGGCGTGGCATTGCGACAGCAGCAGCAGCAGCAGGAGGATGAGGATGAGGATGATGAAGCTGTGGAGTTGTTACAGGAGGTAGCGAGCGTCGGCGCGGGGGAATCTGAAGCCAGCATCTCCGTCTCGGAATCGGACGACAACGAGGCTGCGGCGTAATCAACGAGAACCGAGTGCGCAGCTCGTCAGGAACTGTCCACCTGCCCCCCCCCCCCGATTCCCCGGTCGGTGTGCAATTCCACTTCTTCTGCCAATTTATGTGAATGTTACATTCTTCCCCTGTCCTGCGCACCTATGTGTACCTGGGGACGTACACACCTATATACACCCTGGGACGTACACACCTGTATACACCCAGGGCCATCCACACCTATATACTCCCGGGGGACGTACACACCTGTGTACACCGGTGGACGTACACACCTGT